AGGCCTCAGTCTTTGGAGTCTTCATGTGATCATGCAGAGTGTAGGAGTAAGGATGAGGATGGTTTTTCGCGAGTGTGCTATCGCAAAAAGACCAGACAACCTAGGCCTAGATCAGTCAAAAGTAATAATCCTAGGGTGACTAAACTGATATCTGGTAAGAACAGTAGTAACAAACTCCTTGCAGTTCCTCGCCAATCTTGGATCTATGTCACAAGATTTCAAGCTACTACAACTGAAAGTGACATCGGTGACCATTTGAAAGCATCATGTGGTGATCTCAGTTTTGTCTGTGAAAAACTTCCTACGAGACACACATCTTACAATTCTTTTAAAATCGGTGTACAGCCCGAGTGTGTAGAGGACATCATGAACCCTGATATCTGGCCTACTGGTATATTAATCGGCAATTTTTTTCCGCCTCGTTCCTCTAGGCCTAGGTCGATAAGTAGCTCCACTGACGATAGGCCTACTCAGACTGTGAATTTTTTAGTGGAATCAGTGCCAACCGACTCGAAGAAATAAACATGGATGGTAAAAAAAATAAAGTAAGTAAAATGCCTTCAAATTTGAGTTTTTGTGTGCTTACTCTTATTTTCCTCAACATCCAAGGACTGATGGGTAAGTTAACTCTACTTGAGGACTTTACGATGCACCAGCGGTGTGATCTAATATGTCTTTCTGAGCACTGGATTCCTCTGGCAGGTATAGACTTTTTTAACCTCAGCGGATATAACCTAGTCAGCAATTTCTCTAGATTAGAACATGGCAGAGGTGGTACTCTTATTTACGCTCGTTTGGAACTTGACTGTAGACCACTTGACCTGTCGTCTTTTTGTATTGAGAAAATAATTGAAGCATGTGGTGTCCTTGTTACCTCACATAGACTTATTGTTATTTCTATATATCGAACCCCAGACAGTGATGAGTGGCTTTTCTTAAACGCTTTGGAAAAAATCCTGACGTCTGTGACGGAATGGTCCAACCATAGGATCGTCATTGGTGGAGATGTCAACGCACAGTTTGACGTGACAACTACCAAGAGGTCGGTGGCAACTCTTCTCAACCTTCTAAGGGAGTTTAACATCTACTTCCACAATGACCAGCCTAGCAGAGGAAATGCCTGCCTAGACAATGTTTTTTCTAACATCCCCAAAGATGATGTATTTTGTTGTATTGAACCGTTCCATTTTTCAGATCATAATGCCATTCTTTTCAGAATAGTTAATGATATCATACATGAGCCTGATAAGATCAGCACCTTTGCCTTTAAAAGACACTTTTCTCTTCAAAACATCACAAATTTCAAATTCAAAATTAACTTGATCAATTGGCAGGATAAATTTGACCAATTTTGGACTTCGACTGACTTCACAGGTAACGACATATTTTCTGTATTTTTTGAAATTTTTATGCATGTGTTTGACGAGTGTTTTCCTGTGTGCAAGTCTCGCTCAAAACCAAACCCAAAAGGGAAACGGTCACGTGCCTGGTACACTCCTGATCTTGACAGGCTCAGGCAGCAGGTAAGACATGCCTATGATCTGACCTGTGTAAGTAGTGACAATCTTTGTAAGTTAGAGTATAAGACCCTAGTTAAGAACTACAAACGGGCAGTAAAGGAGGCCAAGCTCAATTATAATGCCCTATTCATTGAAAACTCCAGCAACAAATGTAAATCAGCCTGGGCAATTGTAAAAGAAAATTCCCAATCTCTCGGAAGCGGTAATAAGCTTCCATTTCATCCAAATAAACTAAATAGTTTTTTTATTAACTCTGTTAACAGTATTAGAAACAGTATTAAGAAACCTGCAAATACTTATGATCATTTCTTACAAAAAGTTCCTTTCAACAATTCAGAGTTTCACTTTTCTTTGGTCACTTGTAGTGAGGTTATGTCAGTCATAACTAAAATGAAAAATACCAAATCCAAAGATATCTATGATATCTCCAACTGGTTCATTAAAGAAATTGTTGATGTAATAATTTCACCATTGACTTACTGTGTAAACGCCTGTCTACAGGGGGGATTCTTTCCTGATTGTCTCAAAATTTCCAAAATTTGTCCTATTTTCAAAAAAGGGGATAAAAACTGCCCAGGAAACTATCGGCCTATTAGTCTAGTACCTGTTCTGTCCAAGGTTCTAGAACATATTATTCACAATCAGATTAACAGCTTTTTTGAAAATAATTCTCTCTTTAACAAACAACAATTTGGCTTTAGAGTTGGACAGTCCACTGTGGATGCAATTGATGCCATGGTTCAGGACATTCACAGGGCTTTTGAAAATAAAGATTTTGCCTGGGCCACCTTCATTGATCTTAGCAAGGCCTTTGATTGTGTTGACCATGAGATCTTGCTGCATAAGTTGGAGTTTTATGGAATCAGAAACAGTGCTCTAAATCTTTTGTGGTCTTATTTAGCAAATCGTAGACAGGCGGTATACGCTGATGGTGAATGGTCCTCCATCGCCCTCAGCAACTGTGGGGTACCTCAAGGCTCCGTCTTGGGCCCCCTTCTGTTTTTAATTGCTATAAATGATCTGCCTATGAATCTTAGTTGCAATTCCTATCTCTATGCGGATGATACTACCTTGCTATCTTGTCACAGTGACCTTTTGCATCTTAAGTCAAATGTCAGAAACACAGTCAATACTGCTGCTGAGTGGTTTTCAGCTAATAGTTTTCTTTTGAATAAAGACAAAACACAATCAGTCATATTTTGCCTTAGACCTCTACATGATATAGGCCCACTTGAAGCTGAACTGTCCAATGTGGTAAAGTTTCTAGGTGTCCATATTGACAAACAACTGACTTGGTCTGATCATATAACGCAACTCTGTACTAGGTTAAGTAGAATGATTTGCCTTCTTCGTAAGCTTAATGATTTAGTTCCTATTAGTTATTTAAGATCAGTTTACTTTGCTTTATTTCAGTCTGCCTTGAACTATGGTATCATTTTTTGGGGTAATAGTTCTCATGTCTCCGATGTCTTAATATTACAAAAAAAGGTCCTGCGCATAATGGCTAGGGTTGATCCTGAGGAACATTGTCGCCCCATTTTTATTGAATTTAATATTTTAACTGTTATTAATTTATATATATTTAATATCATGTTAACTAGTTTTAAGGAAATGGACTCACATGCCATAAGGAGTGATTTTCATGATTTTCAAACTAGAAACAGACATCAATTTGATATACCCCATGTTAGACTGAGCAAAACAAAGAAAAGTCATAAAATTCTGGGCCTAAAATGTCTAAATAAATTGCCCAACAAATTGCTATCACTTCCTTACAAAGTTTTTAAAGCTAAAATTCATATGTGGCTAGTTAAGAATCCGTTCTACAAACTTAACGATTTTTTAGAATTTCCTAAACCATTAAATATTGAGTAATGATTGTACTTTTTTTTTCTCTTATAGTTATCCTCATCTGCATGTATTTTATATTATCTTTGTATATTTTGATTTGACCTTGTACTCTACATCTATTGTACTCTTCCTTGACAAATGTTTCCCAACATAATACCTTCATTGACCATTCCACATGCATTTGTAATGTCTATTGGAAAATAAAGCTTTGATTTGATTTGATTTGATTTGACACGTTTCTGACGTGTTTAAGGTGATAAAAGGTCTGATGTATTTAGCGAGAGGGAAAAATATGTTTCACAATAGGTATGGTAAATTTATGAAGAAGATAATGACATTCGAAAAAACTTTCAGTCTGGGAGAAAGGCCTAAGTAATCTTTTCAGGTACCCAAAACTAGCTTTTTTTTAAATTTCACCGTGATTATGTTTTATGTTAAGTTAATCAAATCGCAAATAACACTTTTTATTTAATTAAACATCTAACAATTGAGCTACGCTGAACTACAAAACAGCAGATGTAATTACAATTAAATGTTAACAACCAATCTCGGCAATTTGAAATGTTAATAATCAATAATCAAACATAGAAAAGCTTATTAGAGTTAACAGCCAGCTAAATCAGGATTAATTGCAATGTTTTTATCCAGTTGTGCCGTGGTAAGTTGACAACACGGGACTAAAGCCAGCTGAAAGAGAATCATTAATCCCAATCATAGCGGACACCGTATGTTGGACATTAACCGGATCAGGTCAAGTCTAGAGGATTGTGGGTAAAAAACTAAAAAGTGGGTTTATATGAATTAATATTTTTTTTCTTTTTGCAGTTCAGATAATGAATTGACCTAAAATTAATCAATTAATTTAAGATGTTATTCGTTACAGTAAAGATTAAAATTTTTATCAGCGGTAAGGTGAAGTACGATACAAAAGAAGAGTTAATCAAGGTAGCAATGCATAGATCCTTCTCGTAAACAATATTTGAAACTACTGTATCCATAATAATTTGACGTAACCTTACGTGATGTATTTCTTGTAAACATACAAGAAGTTAAACTGCAATTTTACCCATTCTCTCAACTCAGAACATGGAAAGGTAAAAACCTATCGATGATTTGTTTGTTTGTCACGAACTAGACATTTTACCAGGCGTCATACTGTTTTTATCTGTTGTTTCCCATTATTATATTTTCTAGTTATTGGTTTTCGTACGTTTGCTCTCTTGTAAAATACTATTTTATTATATTTGACGTAGGCCTATGTAAAACGTGCTATGGTATCTCAAGAAATAAGTTTAGGCTGCCCTAGATTTTAAAATGGAACAATTAATTAAACAATAATCAATTGCTATTTTGTAGGACACTAATAGTAGGTCTAACAGCTGTAACATATAAATATGTCAACATTATAGAAAACACCAGGGATTGTGTATTGTGTATTGTGTAGTGGTTTTACCTGTGTTTTACAACAATGGTCAGTCGCAAAATCATACGATATCGACCAATAACCATTCTGGGGCAACGTAAACGCACAACATTGTCCACTTGAGAACCGTTAACAATTAATTGCGGAATCACAGGTCAAACATAACCTAGAAACAGGAAGGAGGTCAACCTACTGGAACGACTAACCTGTTATTTAGCAGAGCCAATGAGTAGTCTCCAGTGGTCGTGGAACACAGTATAATCCTCCAGTAGCTATGCAGCACTATGATATGAATTTGTCACTATCACAACACAAGTATCGACACGACAGTTGTCACTGTTGACGACGTTACCGTTGCGGCTGTCCCGGTCGAACTGACCCGATCGGTTTCGGCTACACTCGGCTGCTCCCGACCTCCCCCTGACTGTAGCGCTCCTGGCGGCACGTACTCTCACTGACGGTAAGCTCACGGTTCATCCGGGTCATTGGTAATGCGTGTCCTGCAAATCAGGATGAAAACTCTATAATTGCCTAAAACAAGGAAAAACATTCATTGCAATTTCAAAATAAAATAAAAAATAGTCATTCAAAGTTAACTACGAAAAAATACATATTTAGAAAGTACACAATGCTTTCTACTCTACAATGTTATGCCATAGCAAAACAAACTCTAGTAAGGAAAACAAACCATCTTTTCAAACAATACGTTTAACCATGGACTATTGGATACTGAAGTTTTATCAATAGTCAAAGCGTTAACTTTACAAATCCTCAATGATGTCTGGACATTTGTTGATAAGCCAATTTTTATCGTGCACATGTTTGAAAAGTTTACCTTATTGTTCCTTGGTACAATCACAGAGAGAAATTATAAAAAAATATTGTTTATTTGACATCAGGACTGTTTAGATCGTTTTGAAGTGTCTCCTTATTCTGAAAAGTTTTTTCCTTGCCTAGAGGATTATGGTCATGATTTTATTCATGAAGTACAGCTAAATTTTACCAAACATTTGGAGAGGATATAGCTAAAAATGGAATCAATTATTTGTTGTATTCGGATTGACAGGATATAGTTCAATAATAGAGTCAATCATTAATATCAATAAAGAATAAATAAAGTAATTCATATGAATTACTGCCCACAAAATGTTGACGAAAATACCTGTACATGTAAAACAGCTCTCTGAAAACGCAAACATGATGTTTATATGTGTGTTAGTAAAAATTCTATACCCATTCATAACAGTTCCGCTGAAATCAATGCTCAACCCGTTCAACGCAGTGCTACAGATCTCTGGGTTGAACCTATTTTTCCACCTACAGTGTTTCATATTTTATACGGAAAGTAAATAAAAGATACGTCTAAAAACACCTAAAGTTTACTTTCCGTAAATTTATCAACCCGGACAATGCTGAAGAAGCATATATTATGCATATTATGTGTTATATTTTATACGACACACTCTGAGGCATTTTCTTCGAACTTGCAGTATTTTAGTACATCAGTAAAATAAATAGTCAAAGGACGCTTTTCAATGTTATTAGTTAGAGGTTATTGAGTTATACCTAAAGTTGTTTCAACATACCCAAATATATTGGATTCCTGTACTGTGTTCCATATTGTGATGTGGTTTCATTTAAATTCAAATTCAACGTTTTTACCCATGATTTCGGATTGCAACTTGTTTAATAAACACTACGAAAGCGGATTAGAATTAATTTGGAAGTCTTTGTGTTTCATTTGAAACATAAAAATATACTTATTTTAACTGGCTATTCGAGTCGTTGAAACCATTTTAGGCTACGCCACGTGGAAGTTCAAAATATGGAGATGGGGATTTTCTGAATTAAATATTGGTTTGTATTCATTACAAAATAAAAAATCATTTAATCAGCTCTTACTCTGTCTGTGTATTGGCGAAATTATTGATTTTCTTTAGGTTACACAGATTCAATCAATCTGAATCAAACTTAAGGGAAATCAAATACAACAATCCAAGGGTACAAAAGTTATATTTTTTTATTTTGTTTTACTAGTTATTTTAATCCCACATTCCCATCATAGGACGCTAGGATCCAGCCCGGAACTGTTTTTACACATTACTTCAGACTAGTCCTAGAAGGTCGAGGCATTATAACATATTTAAAGATCCACTGGCAATTGACTGGATTTGAACTCAAGACATTTGGAACAGAGACCCCGCAGTTCTACGAGACCAACCAGCTTACTCCCTGGTAACAATAGTAAGAGAGTAATTAATTGTTCACTACATTAGCTAAAAAACACATTATTGACCTGAATCTAGTAAGATCCAATATTAACTTTAAATTTTCAGCTAAATTCCTTTTTGGACATAGAATTTTAACCGCTAGTACATACGCTCTGCTGAGCCATGGGTGCTATCCCAGTTTATAGAACCCCTCAATTTTAGGCCTAAAATTAAAACTTAAATATCTGACCCTAAGCGGTTTTAATTAGTGTAATATCACAAGTAAACCCGTGGTTGGATAATGACAGTTACAACAGACAGGAAGACTAGCCATAAGTCGCCTAAGAGGATTATAATGACACAAAACACTACACAGAGGTCCACAGTGTTCTTGCTCATTTGGCGCAAGGATATCTAAGAGTCTAAAAAGTTCCTCTACATAGTAAACCGACTGGGTTTGACAAAATAATACTAAGCAGACATTAGTACATACACTTCGCAAAAGCTGTATTCAACAATGTTCATGTTTGTGAAAGAAATCCAAACTCTAAATTCAAATGCTTACAAAACTTGAAACAAAGAGAGTTCTGTGAAAAATGGAAGGATTAAGGATGAAAAAGTTATGAAACCGTTTGCGAAGAATGAACAAGCAACAACTTTTGACATAAACATTTACTTAACACTTTAGGTTTTCTCAGTAAGATACACTTATCCTTATATTGTTGACAGTTGCCTATGTGTATTTTGTATGACATCTGAAGATTATTGGAAAACTTTGAGCTGTATTATTTTGTATTTGTTGTTTGTTCGTGTAAAGTTTTTTTCACCTAAAATTGCAAATTCGCCATTTATTTAAATAAAACCCGTGTTAGCTTAAGATGCTACCCAACATCGATTTTCTAGTACAAGGTTCTAGGAGTGATAAGACAAAACATGCTGGTTTAAGTCCAGCACTATCTTATCGCTATGTAAATCTAGGGGGGCGATTTCCTGGGTCCAAATCCCTCCAAATACCAACAGATTTTATCCAAGTTATAATGCCGCAACCCTACGCCTAGCCTGAAGTAATGTGAAAAACAATCCCTGGCGAGAGTCTAGCGTCCTTGGAAAACTTCGTAAGATTACGGCAGATTATCAATTCCGTTGTGATAAGCATTTCAGGTACATTTATATATATTAACGCAAAGGGAGAGACTGTACCTTTTATGTTATAAAAAATGCAGTTTTTGTTATTATAATAAGATAATCTCCATTTCTTCCTGACAAAGACAAGATATTACACTAAGTATATAAAAGAACCTTTTTATGGTAAAAATCTAATATATAAAATTCTCGTGTCACAGTGTTTGTCTGCAAACTCCTCCGGAACGACTTCACCGATCGTTATGAAATTTGGTGTGTAAATTCTGTAGGTATGCGAATCGGACGTAAACTATTTCCCGTTTCGAAATTCTTAAAAGGGCTCCGCCCCAGTGGCTCTGGAGTTTCCCATGTTAACCTTATGAGAAATGGAATTAATGAATCTTAACAGCTGTTTCAATTAAACAGGTTGGTTCTGTTCTATGATGTTCAATAGCATTAAAGTTACAAGGATTACCAACAGGGTGCAGCACTATTATTTCTTTTACATTTATGACAGCTAATTTGCAACCAAAAGGTGAGTGAGCGTAGCGAACGAACTTCAACCTGGAGGCGAGTTAGCGTAGCGAACGAGCTAACCTGAAGGCAAGTGAGCACAGCGAACGAGCTCCAACCTAAAGGTGAGTGAGCGTAGCGAACGAGCTCCAACCCAAAGGTGAGTGAGCGTAGCGAACGAACTTCAACCAGGACGTGATTGAGCGATGCGAACGAGATCATCTTGAAAATTAAACGTAACGGTACTTTCTTTCCATCGGTCTGTCTTAGGGGAAACCTATAACTTAGGCGATACGAAGTTCGCCGGGTCAGCTAGTAAATATATAAAGATTTCTACAGATTATTTTTGCGAAATCAGGTCTAAGCTGCCACAGTTATCGGCTGACACTGCTTATAGTATCATTACTACTTTTAATACAAGTTATTTTTATAATTCCATTCATTAGGTGTGCTATTCCCACATATTCTGACGTCACTCGGAATGCAAACAAAATATCACCTGATTGTAACTGTCAAATTAGTATGTATTTGTTTTGATTTGATTGTTATTGTTTTTATAATAATAAAAACAATAACAACCAAATCAAAACAAATACTAATTTGACAGTTACAATCATGCGATCTTTTGTTTGCAATCCGAGTGACGTCAAAATATGTGGGAATAGCACACCTATGTTTTTTCCTTCCACCATGCATTCCATTGGTGTAGGATTGGAAACACTGTTGTCTTGGTTACCGAATGGTATTATTTTTTATTTATTTTTGTAATTTTGGCAGCTGTCAGATGTGTTTTGTTGTGGAGTATATTTTTGGGTTATGTTGTGAGTTCAACTTTCAAACTTATGCTGTAATGAAATAGTTTTTGTGGTGATAAACTATGCAAATATGGCTAAAATACGAAATTTGGGTTCTAGAAGATTTCATGGAGACCAGTCTAGATGATGGAAGGAGAGAAGATAATGATGCCCTGGAGGGTTGAGGTTATGATGAGAAGTGTTCAATGTTTGTGATTTTCAAGTATGTTTTTCTGACCTTTAAGTACACATAGGTCAAAACCTTATACATAGTGACTTGAAACTTTGGAAACATTATTTTGGATACTTGGTGAGTACATTAAAACAAACGTCTATTGATTAGTACTGTAATACTTTTTGATATTTAAAAATATTTACGGCTGCACTTTACTTTAGGTCCTACACTCATTCGAATGAAAATATCGATCGATATATCGATTTTTCGATATATCGTTCGGTTAGTTAGGTAAGGTTAACCTAACCTAACTAACCAAACGATATATCGAATGAAACAATCGAATAATCGATATTTTCTTTCGGTTGTTTGTGTAGAACCTAAAGTAAAGTGCAGCCATATTTACTTTTATTTTAAGAACATCGCATTAAAGTTTATAATTAATCGTGCAAATAATCAGTATGATAGATCTAGTGATGTTCATGCTATGTGTACTTGAACTTATATAAAATCACCATTTAAAATCATTGAAAACACAGTCTCCTCTTTAACAAATGTGGGAAAGTAATAAACATAACTGACCATGTATCGACCAACCAGTGTATATAAGGTTACATAGCATTTAGTAAAATTTAGAAAACTTAATAGAAAGAATCAAATAGCCAAATCCAGTGTAACCCACACCACAGCCGGGACCGGGAGTAGGTCAGATGGGAGATGGGTGACTTGTGACTAGGCAGAGAGGTAGAGGATGCGCCAAGATCTCTCGAAAGTGAAAGTTCTTGCACTTTCACCCGAGAACGAGTGTCTGGGAAACACGACTAATTGACTGGGAAATTATTAATTTGATCATCGCCGTCGTGGGCCACGATGTCACGGCGCGGTGACAGTTGCAACTGTGGGCGTTACGTTGCAACCGCTACCGCAGCGGAACATGTTACACGACAACCGTTACCGCAGTGGAACATGTTACACGAACACTGTCACTTGTCGTTCTCACTATCGTTTTTATTGTGTCTTCAAGATAAAGTTTTGAAACTTTTAAGAAAGTAGGCAATACATTTAGGATGTTGAAATTAAGGAAAATGCGTCTTTGCTATTGAGTAGTTCATCGTGTAATATTTACAGGAAGAAGCTATCTAATACAAAGGTTTTTTGTTCATAATGAGTTTTATAGGAAATAATCTGTTGCCGTAGGCCTCATGGTAAGACGTTGTAGTAATAGAGATCGATGGGTAAGACCTAAATCCGGGACGAATTTAGTTGTCCGATTTGATGATTTTGATGTCTCCAAAAACAAAAAACACAAATTTTATTCAATTTTTGAGATGTATGGGTTATTATTTAAGAATTAGCCGATTAAAAACCACCTCTAAGAAGATAATACATGTATGGGTCAAAAGGTTGAAAAATTACAATCTTTAAAATAATTGATAACATAACGTGGTTATCTGAATTCACTATCATTATCATGTACCATCTAAAATCCTACGAATCTTTTTATCAAACGTTGTAAACATTTATCTCAACACTATATCCATTGAAAGAACAACCTAGTAAGTAACTTCATTGTTTATAAACCCGTTGAAAACTTGAGCAAAACGCTGCAATAACCGTTATCAATTTTAGTTTGTGAAGGAGTTGACAACCCGCTCCATCTTGCGCTGTTCATAAATAAATATGAGATACATTACCCACCACTTACATGATAGGCTTGCAATCTTCCAGCAAGGTACTGCATAATGATTTGTTTTTAATGATAAGCAAGCATTTTTTTTTAAATTACGAATCAATTATTATTTCCAAATTATTTTTTAAGAGGTGACCCATGAGCAAATTTGCACTATATGGTTCAAACTGAATTCCAGGTAAAAATAATAATGCAATACCCTTTTACTTTTCAAATATTTAAATCTACATACTTAAGAGTGCTTTACATACCTTAATTTGGTTGCAATTATCAAGAAATGTGTCAATTTAGATTCCATTTCCACTATTTTGGCTGTCTGTTGTTTACAATCTGACTGTGCTTAAACATTCATGTATAGGATCAGCTGTTAAATTACAATTCGTATTGTAACCGTAATAAATACAGTTGGTCAGCAATACTGGATCTTTGAAAGTGAACTCGAAATAATTGAAAAGCAAGGAGTGAATGCGCTAAATCATAAGCTAAAAAATTAAATCAATCGTGAAAATTGGTAAGGAAGACAACTAAATAATATGTTTGAAATTAAATCCTTTAGTACGGTATACGATTATCCACGATATTATCTCTTCATTGAGTTAAAGCTGGGGTTTCCTAGGCGTGGAAGCGGAGAGCGGAGAGGAACGCGGAGAGCGGAATAGAGATTAACATGGTGTTCCGCTTCGCTTGTAGGAAAACAGTAACATTAAATTACCTAAGACAAGTGGAGTCTGCTCTCCGCGTTCCTCTCTCCGCTCTCCGCTTCCACGCCTAGGAAAACCCGGCTTACCCTAATTCATTGAGTTATTTTTTTAAGTTTTAGTAACTGGTCAATAATCATAATATTTTTGAATTGAGTAATGTAAGTGAATTCTCTACATAGGGAATAATCTACCTATTACCCTAGATCTCATAGGTCTGAACCTGGGATCGCTTTGCTTATTCTTGTTTATGTCCACAGATGCCACAAACACCATCCATTCACATTCATATATATGTAGAACAACAACTGAGTAAAAATTATGCGGTTTAACGTGTAAACCTACGTTTATTCGATCGAGTTTCTATCATCGGACTATGGGAATAGAGTTATTAGTTAACTGACGGTATTTAAATAAAAAATACATTAACACAATTTATATGTAAACTACTTATTCTTTACCTATTATTTTTAAGGCCTAAATCCTTTACTGATATATAAAAAAAAGTCCCCGCAACTGTTTAGTGATATTTTTATATATGCACAGATATTGTTTATCCATTCACACACACACACACACACACACACACACACACACATAACTTTTGTGGGTCAAGGTAAACGATAATTGAAAATGTGATGTAAAAAAATTTAATATATGTTGTAATACAATTTACAAACTAACTTTTGTTTCATCATGATTGAAAATCAATTACTCCGTTCAGACCGTATTGTTTTCTCTGATAATTGTAAAATGAGGTGAAGAAGGAATCAAGTGGTGAAAAGAACGAAAAGAGGAGAGAGCAGGGAGGTGTCATTGTTTAATTACAACTGAAAACCATCTTTAATTTCCTTTGGTTTTGATGAAAACATTTCCCATCTTTTGAAAGACGATTTAATCTTTTGATAAAACATTCCTGAATGTATTTTTAGAGAAAACACTTTGGTTTTCATACCATTGTCATTTTTATGTTTAATTTTCATGATTTAATGGGTCAGTTTAGTTCGATTTGAATGTATAAATATAGGTTTTTGTTAAAACCTCGGCGAAATTATGCTATAATTTTTGTTTATATCACTAAGTTCTAGCCCGAGATTTATTTTCATTACTTCACGCTAGGCTTTGAGGTTGTGGTATTATCTCTTTCATAAAATTCATTAGTGATTGGCTGGATTTGAACCCGGGACCTTCAGAACCACTCTACCACTAGAAAATCTCACTCCCCATGATATTTAAACATAATATAATATCATAATATTTAGAAATCTGTTTTAAAATTACGTCAAATTGATTTAATGTGCAATTTTGCTTAAAACTACGTACTTTTTTTTCAAATTATACATTTTATTCGTCCTTTATGATCGCTATGTTTGTCCAAAGAAGGATGATTTTGTGTAAAAGCACGTGAGACAAATGGATAATATTTTTATTTACAAGATTGCATTAGCACGAAACTATGAACAACGCTTTCAACTATTTTTTTGAATAACCTGGTTGGTTTCATTAACATATATTGTCCACACTTTAGTACAATAAATCACTAAATTTCCAAATAACACTCAACATGAGTACCACAACCCATTTATCCTTCCAAATTGCTTATGTCGAAAAAATATTTAAATTTCCGCTGGGAAAACATAACTGGGACGGGTGGCGTCGTCCTGTAATTCAGCAGGTTACGAATTGTGGATATTTATATGCATGCACTGTGGATGCTATACTCCCTGGTGTGGATTAACGTCCGCACGAGTGACTACTACGACTATCCGCAGTACTATCCTGAAAATTAGACCAATTCATATATACCAAGGCAAAAATGTGGTTCGGATTCCACTATAAACTGTAGGTCCCTTAGTTGCCGTTAGCAAGTATGGGCTATTAATTAATAGCTGTGTCTAAGGAATAAGTCGGCCTTAGTCACTACCAAGACTACAAGATCGCGCTACTCATCTCCATTCATACTTGGTTTAAAATGCCTACTTTGTATGGTCGTCATTTCATTGAAAAGTATTCAAGCATTAAAGGAGTATTCTTACTTCATAGCCCAAGGCACTCTATTTCACATATAAATAAGGATAAGAAAGTGATTTTAGAAGTAATAACGGGTGAGATGAGCACAATGAGTGTATACCAACACTTGTGGCATCGTTCCATCCCTTATGTCCCATCACGCCATAACGCCGCGCCTTTATATTCTTTATAACGCGGCGTTATTGCCACGGAGGAAATAAAGCTTTGATCGCCAAATGAACAATATATCACTCAACTTTATTTAACTTATTAAAATTCGTATTAGTGCTGTTGTGTAATATAGTCTTTCGAAAATAAAATATTCTCTCTTAAGTGTATACTTAAAATGTTTTAGGTTTCTGTTTGAACCTGATGACAGGTGTGACTGAAAAATGTGATTGATATTGTAAAATATCCTTATATATAATACGTGAAGGCGATTTCTACGAAACACTACTCCTCCGTTAATAATGGACGGATTTTTACAAACGATGTCTCCAAATTAAGTATTTTTTGTGTAGACGCCCCCTTTCACCAATACCTGTAGTAAAAGTTCTCGGGCTTTGCTCCATCCACAGGCCATCAAAATCCCAATGTATTTCTTATGAAGAAAATATTTTGTCTATTTAACAGACGAAAAATTTGTATTAATTACAGCTGTGCATAGTAAACACATATGATACACACAAAAGCGTTCGTTTTCAGAGTGGATTAATTTGTTTTCAGTTTCAATAATTGGAGTGGAGTGAGCGTTCGTTTTCAGAGCGAGTTCGTTTTCAGTTTCGATAACAACTGTAGTGGAGTGATTGATTACAGTATTTTTGATATAATCGGTAAGCGGAAATTATGACTGCTATTCGTTTTGAAATAACGCCTGGAATACTTTGCGATTGCTCGAATTCGAGCAACAGGTGCACTAGTCTTATATATAGGGTGTTCCACAAAGAGGTGGCCATTTTCAAACTTATATACCAGAAGCAATAAATATGCTACAAACTGTAGACTTCACTGTTGCAACAAACACATGTAAATACTCAAACCCAACACAGGAAAACTGCAATCTTAGAAAATACACATTTCCCTGTATTTTCACGAAAATATTTTGCTTTAACAAGTCAGATTTATTCCCCATTGAGTAGTAGATTTAGGTTTAATGATTACTTGGGTTTGCTGCTACAGGGAAGGTACAAAAGTGTGTTTATTGGGTTAATAAATGGGCCTATGTGTTGTATAGATGAAACATACTTGTACAGAATTTCCTTTATTTGTCGATTTTTATTATTTAGTCAATTGAACATCCAAAAACCTAAATTCATGTGCGAAGCAAACAGTTAGAACATTTGTTTCAATAGAGATATTTAAAATTATATTAGTTTCTAACAATTGTCCAAACAACTCTAAGATGTAACTAAAGCTACTTGAATTTAAGCATAAGGTTTTCCTCAGCGATATGTTTCATACTATGCGGCTCATTGAGCCGCACGGGTTCTCTAGTTTAATTAATATTACTTGTTTCTATTTTGTATATCTCATTCCTCCCTCAACATGTCATAGGCAAATGTATTTTTATTATATTTTATAAGATAATAAATGTTGCACCGTTGGTAAAAGTGGTTGGCCGTCTCAAATGTTTAACATACCAAAAGGTAATTTTTCCAATTTAAAACATAAAATATAGGCAATTTTAGCTTAACTTTGTATAGTAATTTATGTCTGATAGGTACTGATCCTGTAATGTAGATTTTGACCAGCGCTCAAAACTATCGTTGAACTGATTATTTCTAGAATTAATTCAACGACTCAAAATGTAAATGTTTAAATATAAATTCTATTTAACGTTCTATTTCATTACACTCTTAATTGCAACGCCCAATCAAACTTAAATAAACAAATTTAATGGCAAAACAAATTGCTGCATTACAAAACAATCGATGTTTTGTAATTTCCATTAAACACATTACTCATACATAACCCAACAACGAGAAAAACCACACAAAGACAACTACCATTGTTGCGACCATTGTGCACACCATTGTTGCATACCATTGCTACACACCATTGTGCATACCATTGTGGCGGGAAGGCAGCAGGTGCGAATCTCCACAATGACAATGATGTTATCCATGTGTAATTATTGTAGGACTGGCCGCGGACGAGGCTACAATCATAGTAATGACATGTCCCAGGTCCTTACTACTCATCTTTAATCTCTAATCTCTAAATCTCTACAACTCTGCCGACGACCTTGAAACCTCGTCTAGACTGCAATCTGCGATATACATTGTCTGTCTACAACAGCATTGTTTAGTGATGGAATATAGACAATATTTTCAATTTTCCCTTTATGTAGGTTCGAACATTTTTGTCTGTTTTTCTATCAAAACTATCATGAAACAAAACATTGTCAGTACAAGTGAAGTTGACTGCACAAAATTACAGATGTAGGTTGAATATGTGTTTTTTCGATAGTAGTTGTGCGTTAAATTTAAAATTACAGCTTGGTATGGATCGAACCAGCGAACTTGTCAAGGGATTTTGTCACATAATGCACTTGCAAGTCATGTTAAATTGTATTTTTGGA